CTGCAGGCTGCCAATGCTCTGTTGATAAATACTCTTGTCTAAGACACTCAAATTCGTTTTGCTCATGTGGATATGATGAAAGATTTGTTCTATTTCGTTATCCTATAGAGGAGCTAAAAGAGTTGGTTAGAGCATTAGAAGGAGGGTTAGAAGCTATCAAGGTTTGGGCAAATAGGACCTCTGGAATGGTTTCTGTAGATGCCAGGGACGTTTGTTTAGGTAAGCCACATGTGGACAGAGACATGTGCAAAACTAAGATCAATGAAGTGGAAAGTTCGTCTTCTTGTCCAAGAATCAAGAAGTCAAAACTAAATGACGATCCTCATAGTCATGTTTCTTCAGAATTAGTCCAGTCAGATTCTCAAGTGGAAAGTGCACCACAGCAGAACATTGTAGATAGTCATAATGGCAATGTTAATGTCAAAAGTTTGGTCATGGCTAATGAAGCTAAGGTTTCATGGAATTGTTGTGTGGGTTTAAATCTTAATGTTATGTCTGATCAAAATGAAAGTGACATCATGCATATTGCTGATAGAAAATCAAACAAGGGTATTGGTTGTGTTGAAAAGTTCGGTTGCTCAGAGTCACAAAAGGAACAAGATGATGTGGTCCTTGATAGTGAAGAAAATGTATCAGACAGGTTTTCTCCTGTTAAGAAGCATTACCCATCACGTTCTAGGGGTCATCGCACTTCAAGTAAATTTGACGGTGGCCAGATGCCTGGGGATGATCTGTTGATGCATCAGGGTATGAGAGTGCTACCTAACAGTGAATGTAAAACGGAAGCAGTAGACATGGACAGTTTCAATAAAAGCACATCTTTGACAAGCGAGAGCTTTCTAATTCAGAAGTTTGCTGCATCTGTTGAGCCTGTAAGCCTGGGCTCCATTGTGCTTGGAAAGCTGTGGTGCAGTAAGCACAAGATATATCCAAAAGGTATGCTGTAGAATGTTATTTTCTGTGCTTAGGTTTGCCATTTGTATATATTTTAATATTTTTTGGGATTTGACTTTTCACTTCTTTTGGCAATCATTTGAAGGATTCAAGAGTCGTGTCAAGTTCTTTAGCATGCTTAATCCATCAACAATCTGTAGCTATGTTTCCGAAGTTCTTGATGGTGGCTTAATTGGACCTCTTTTCAAGGTATCATATCATTCCTGACCTTGTTTAAATCTTGAAATCATGAGCAGAATGGATGTTTCTTAATATATGTTATTTTTAGCTTATTGCCGCAGCCCACAAACATTTTTTGGGTTTTTATGGTCTTGATATCAGTATAATGCATCATTAATGGCTTAGTTCACTGTTACATTAAATAATGCAGCAAATAAATGTTTCCCTTGATGCATCAGATAATTTCTTTCCTTTCTGTTTTGGGAACAAAAGGCATCTTAGGCATTGTAGATGTTGTACTTGCATGTTTGAGTAGTATATTCATAGCTGGAGTTTTTCAGGGAAAAGGCTTTTATTTATGCAACTTTGCTTTTGCTTTGATGCATCAGATAATGACGCAAGTTGATTCCTTTGCTTTTGCTTTGAGTTTCGGCCACTGATTTTGGCCAAGGGGTTTTTGGTCTGACCTCTGGACTGTTTATAGAATTGAGCTAATGTTTTCTCAATTTCTTCTTCTTTTGCTCTGCTCTGGAAAATGTTGAAAATAATTGTCCTAACAATTATCTTAAAGTCTTGTGTTACATTTTTAAAGGTAATTGTTAGTACTAATACTTTCTCCATCTTTTCTGAATTAGAGATTTGCCTTTTAGATGATTCCATTGACTGATAATTTATTCATAAAAGCCGAAAGGGAAAAATTTTATGCAGAGGCATCATTATCTGATTCTGTAGAACTGACAAAAAATAAATGAAGCTAATGATGCCTAGAATGGTTAGGAAATCCGTTCTTTTTAGCACAAATCGTACCATACGATCCTTTCAGCTGACATATTTCTTTCTCGTGTGAATATTGTTCAGGTTAGCATAGAAGAACATCCAAGTGAAAGTTTCATGAACATGTCAGCAGAGAAGTGCTGGGAATCAGTTCTGGAGAGAGTAAATAGTGAGATCATCAGGCGTAGAAGCCTAGGGGAACTAGAACTTCCTCCATTGGAGCTTCTGCAAGGCATAAACGGTCTACAAATGTTCGGATTCCTTTCTCCATCAATCATCCAGGTAAATGCTAATGCTTCTTAAACAGATTGCTCTACAAATTAAATGAAACTTATCACTGGTGTAGAATATGTTGTAGTACTGTGGTCAAATTAAATTGTACACATCTTAACTGAAAACTGTGAGCTTTGTTAGCATTGAATATTATGTCCAAGTGGTATGCTCAGCGTAAAATTATACGTCAATTGTTCAGAACTCAACTTACCGACAGCCGTTGTAATCGATTGGCTTAGCTTATTATGGCTTTTAGTTTCATTTATAGATAGCTGATTTATTTGGATATAAAGGTAAATAAGTTCTCTAATAACATGGACTTATATCATCTCATGCTGACAAATGGTTTCAGGGTATTGAAGCTCTGGATCCCAGTCATCAATGTGGAGAATACTGGAACCGCAAGGAATTAGTCTCTTCTGTATCTTCCAGCAGTACAAGTGATGATGTTAAGCTTGTGCGTGGCAGTTCGAGTAGCCTGTCTGATGAAAATGATGATAAACTTATAGGAGAAAAATGTGACTCGTTCGAAGGGACGAAACTGGTTCTCGAAGGATTGTTGAAGAAAGCGAGCCTGGATGAGTTAATCACAATGCAGAAGTTACTGGGGTCTAGTGCAGAAAGTACTCAGTGGAGAGTGGAAATTGCGGCTCTGATAGAGGAGATCCAGAAAAGCTTGTAGATATAGAACAGGGAATAAGATCTCCATTATTGCTGATTTATGGTAGTCATAATCCATTTAGCCATTGATTAGGTCCATTCTTTGGTCAGAGATACATGATGAAAGAGAAGGTTGCTGGGTGAGGTTGGGACCAAATTTTGCTTATTTGTAACCCGCTGGCAATAACCTGATGATAGATGGACTATGGCATTGACCCACTAGGCCATTACATATGTAGTACTAACTTTCCTTTTGAAATGCATTATTCCTTTTCAAGGCCAGTACAGATGTATTTCTTTAATGTCATTAGCATGTCTAGATTCCTGTATCTACAGAGAAAAGGTATTGGTGCTGTTAATTATGATGGTGATTCAACTAGTTTGCACAAATCTTAGGTTGCTATGTGAGTATGGATATGAAGGTTCATAAATCATCCTTCTAGAATCCTTAATACAAGACATAATTATGAAATTATGAAATAGATCTTGGTTATAAATATAATATTTATTTATCATATTTATTAATTTTTATCAAATCATTTCTGTTGAGTAACTATAATCAAGTGGGAGGGGGAAGGGGATATTATGGAAAATGGTTTGGATATTTTGAAAAAAGTATGCCATATTTATTATAATTGACTAATTTACTTAATTTTATTAAATTAATCAAATTAGTTAAATATGTATTAAATACGAGTAATATGAAGTGTATGGATTTATCAAACTTCATGTATTTGTTGTGATTTTGTAGCTTAATGACACACTAAATTCATGGCCCAAAAAAAAAAAACTTCATATGACATGAAGGAGTGAGGATGTTAAAGAATAAAGATCTCCATGCAGAGCCAATTAAGCGTTTGAGAAACAATCTCATCATGTCATAATATATGAAGAATTGAATATATTAATGATATTGAGCCTACCAAATGTTGTTGTCATGCTTTGCTGTTATGTAAAAAAAAAAAAAAGGTTTTTGGGGAAGCCTCGGTCCCTCAGACTAAAGTAATGCAGTAAATTTGGCCGCCGCGGCGGCAGTAGTACTAATAATAGGAAAATTCCATACTAAAAAAATTTTAAAAAATTAAAAAATTACATACAGGAACCTATTTATAAAAATTATTCTCATTTGCTTATTATTAGCTGTTGTCAAAATCCATATTAATATTGTAATAGGTCCCTGTTTATAATTTTTCTATTTTTAAGGTAAAAATATTATTTTTCCCTAATAATGATCATATATTTACTATTGAGTATTAATTTAATTTTAAGGAATAATATCGAATTAAATCTATTGTCTGTTTCTCCACCAATTGTTTTTTTTTTTTTTTCAATTTCCAGTTTGTCATTAACTGAAGATTAAATCAAATAGAAAATATTTTAGGATCTTAAAATGAAGATATTTCTGCTAATAAACTTTGCAATTTAATATTATTATAAAGGATACGTATTAGCATTATAATTTCAAGTTGGGCGATCAGATTCTCAGAACGAAAAATTTTTTGAAGTATTTTTTTTAAATAGAGAGACATAAAATAAAGTGACAAAAAACTGAATCAAATATGCTTTCACTTATTATGCCAAGTTCACATTAATATTTGTATGCTTTGGTGTTCAAGAAATTAAGGTGCCAAGTTCATCTGGTTAATGAGATTTAGGGGGTGTTTGGCAACCTCCAAACCATGGTTTCGGAAGCACTTTTTCGCAAAACAATGCAAACTCCTCCACATATTTACTTCGTAAACCGTAAAAGCACTTCTGAAACTATGATTTGGTTTCTATCCAAACACCCTCTTAAATAGTTCAAACCCAATTTTATTTTAAATTATCTTAATTTTAAATGTGCTTTATATTTTCTTAAGTTTAAACCGGTACACTTTTGAAAATGAGAGTTGGATCTTTTTATATTTTTCATTTTATTTCATTCAAATTATAATAAATTAGATTTCAAATATTGTAATAAAAACTATTATGATTTACGTATAAAACCACTCTTCACATAATTCTCATTCAGAGAATTCGATTTTTTTTTAAACAAACAAAGTTCTCAATTTTAAAATTTAAGATCTTTATATATATATTGATAAATAATATATATTTTATGAATTTCCTTATATCTATATATATATATAGAGAGAGAGAGAGAGAGAGAGTATAGTTCCGGCCAGAAAAATTAACTGGCACTCTGAAAGTTCGTTGTGCTCAGGGCAGAATTGGCGGGAAGATTCTGAGAAAGAAATTCAAGAAAAATGTTCTCTCTCTGCGAATTTCTCTTTCGCATGGAAAATCTCTGCATCTTCGTCTTCTTCTTCCTCTTCCTCTCACTCTCTGCAATGGCACAGCCTCCGCCGCCGGCTCCGGCGATGCTGACTCCGCCGCCGCAGCAGCTCCGCAACATTATTGACGCCCTGATCGGTGCCGGCGACTTCACTAGCTGGGTGACCATTCTCTCCCTGGCCAATCCGTTGATGCTCCCGATGAGCGCCACCCTCTTCGTCCCTCAAGACGGCAGCGATCTCATCTCCGACAACCACCCAGCCATGGATCCGCTTCTCTTCCCTTACCATATCGTCCCTCAGCGACTCTCATTCTCCGATCTTCTCCTCTTCAAGCCCCACACTCGCCTTCCCACTCTCCTTCCCGCCATGTCCATTGTTATTACCAACAATTCTCGCTTCAATTTCACTCTCAACAACATTACGGTCACTCATCCAAACCTCTACAACACTGATTCCATCTCCGTCCACGGCATCGCAGCCGTTCTTGATTACTCTGTTTTCGGTTACTCATTTCCCCTACTGCCAACTCCGACTACGGAAACTACAGCCGGTAACCAGGAGTCGGAGGTCCTTCCATCACCGCCGTCACCACCGGAGGGAATCTTGACGCCGCCGTTTATGCCAATCGGAGATCCTTCGGATGCAGCATGCTCGTGCACCGAAGCGCCCATCGTTTTTTTGATCTTTTGTGGGGTTTTGGCGTTCAAGATGCAAAGAATCCCTTTCATTCGTTGATGATTGAGGCTCTGTTTGATCCATGAAAAGAAATGAAAGAATTATCGCTCTTCATTTCTGGAATCTCTCAATTTTGAGGTATGATTGTTTTGTGCATTTGATAGATTTCAATCTGTATCCCCAAAAGAAAAAAGAAAAAAAAAACAATTCATCACATCGTAAGTGAATAGATTTTGGAGAGTCACTTCTATATGTGATCCCACCGATACACTGTAATTGAACATAATGAAATTGTTTCTGAATCGAGTTCTTTCTTGTTTCCCATTTACTGCGAAAGTTTGTAGAAAAGCACAAAAAAGTTAAGTGAAAAAAGAGAAGATAGATTTCACATAAACTGGCACTGAATTTTTGTTATTATTATTGTTTATTTTGAAGATACTCTAATGAAACTGTTCCCTGTTCCTGTAATCAGCTCTTTTGCTAAATTTGATAAATTTTGTCTGGATAATACAAAAACGAATAGTGATGGGGGAAAAAAAAATCATATCCGTTAACAATGAATTTTTTTCCATTCTTTTATTTATCAGAAATTTTATAGATTCTTCACTTCCAAATGTAGCTATTGAAATTGACAATATAATGCATTGTCTCTTTTTCAATTCTGCCTTATGATCAAAAGAAACCCAATTTGTTCCCAATCAAGCAGGCTTTGTCTTCGCTACTGGGAAAGTGTTACTCGCATGTATATCAGACTAATATAGTTAAGATTATTAATCCTAAATATTTACTGAAGTTTTCAGACTCAGTTGAGTTGTTATCAAGCGCATATATAAATAAATGAATTTTGTTCTCTATTTCTTCTCTTCTTCAAATTTTACAACAATTTTATTAGATGGAGTCTCTTCTATCAGTTGGAAAGAAAATTATTAGAAGGAAGCTTACTAATTAGCCTTTTTATTTGTGATTCTTGGCTTTTATTCTTGGAGAGACATAATAAATGGCATATTTTAATGAGAGTAAAAATGGAAATATTAGTTTAAAATTTCTGACAAGAAATTTATTTCCTATATTTGGAAATATAAGAAATGTTTCTTATAAAAAGGGAAGGTGGGAAGTATTTTAAGCATGTGTATCGCAAATAGATCATTCCATCACACTTGATTAAGACTTATGACCCTAGTGTCAGGTACTCGTGTTCCAGTTATATGTTTGTTTGTACACTCCCCCTAATTTTCTTTAATAAATTTTAAATAACTATTTTACCTTTACGCAAATTAAAATTCAATTTGGTATGAAGAAAATGAAAGAGTGGAAATTTTAATGAGTTTTATTTGAAAAAATAGAGAGTTGGAGTTAATATTTTTAATTAATTTTTCTTACTTTTTTATCTTACATCTCTTCTACATTAAAAAAAATAATTGAATTAATTATTTTTATAAAATCTTCAAAATATCTTGAATAAAAATTATTAGTTAAAGAAGCTCAGTTAATTAGTGATTAATTTTTATAGTTAGTTAGGATAAAAAGTTTACACTTTGGACAAATGATAGTATATTATAAAATATCTAGAAATTTGTCTCTAAAAATCTGAAATGAAAATTCAGGAGCAAAGAGTTCATATTAAGTTTGACTTTATTAAAAAGTGCATTTTTAGTACTTTAAACTGAACATTGTTAATCTCACTAATAAAAAACGTTGACTCAGCAATTCTGTAATAAAATTAATTAAGTCTAAAAGGCTAAAAATATATTTCTAAAAATAACAAAATTAAACTAAAATTTGATATAAACTTAAAAGATAAATGCATATTTTAAAAAAAATTTGCAGTATTATTTAAGTCTCATTATGAATGTAATTATTGGTCTTTCTTGGAAAAAAAATAATTTTAAAAAATTATATTACTGCAGTTTTCTAATACTTCTTTATTTTTAACATAAAATCTAATTGTTGAGTTAATTTTGATCCTAAATATAAGATATATTTTTTCATATTTATTATTTTTTTATATTACTTCATTGATACTCTCTTAATCATAATCAAGTAGAAGAATGAGTGAAAATATTAAAAAGGATAATTATGATATTTTAAAAAATATATGTCATATTTATTATAATTAACTCAATTATTTAATTTTTTTAAATCTAATTAAATATGTTTTATATTAAGAGAGGAGTGACATGTAAAGGTAAGAGCAACATAGAGAACATAGGATGCATAAACGAGACATATATATGAGAGAAGTTTTATCTCGACTTACGTGAAACGTACTTATAGGAGATTTCCACTGCTCTGCCAAACGGGGCCTAAATTGTCTAACACGGTTCCATATGATTTACTTTTAAATATTCATAAAAATCGTAATTTAAAAAATATTTTAATTTGTAACTTTTTAACTTTTCTAATGATCAGCTTTTTAATTATTCATATTAGATTGAGTATAAAATTTAATAATAATGCTAATCATTAAAATAATTATTATTTTAAAAATATTTGAATATAAAATTTTGATGTTAATTATATATTTTTTTCGATTATAAAAGTAAGCAAAGAAAATCGTTTGTTTCATCATTATTAAATTGCATATAAATTGTTGATAAAAGTAAAGATTTATTTTTAAATATTTCTAAATTTATATTTGTAAATTGCATATAAATTGTGGATATGTTGAGCAAAAATTCTGGAATTTAAACAGTGAATAATAACCCCAGTAATTATGTTGAAATTCTAAATCTACTAGCTTGTTTTCATGATCTGCATAATGCTTATAAATGTGTATTCTGAGGGGTTAAAAGAAGGATGTTATATTACGAGGTCTTATAATTAGGACTGGAAATAGTATGTTAGAATGACAGAATCAACACTTTCTATAATAAAATTAATTAAGTCTAAAGGACTAAAAATATATTTTCAAAAATAAAAAATTAAACTAAAAGTTGATATAAACTTAAAAGATAAATGCATACTTTAGCCAAAATTTGCAATATTATTTAAGTCTCATTATGAATGAAATTATTGGTCTTTCTTGAAAAAAAATATAATGTTAATAAATTATTTTACTGCAGTTTTCTAATACTTCTTCACTTTTTAACATAAGATCTAATTGTTGAGTTAATTTTGATTTTAAATATAAGATATATTTTTTCATATTTATCATTTTTTTATATTACCTTATTAATACTCTCTTAATCCTAATCAAGTAGGAGAATGAGTGAAAATATTTAAAAAAATAATTATGATATTTTAAAAAATATACGTGATATCTATTATAATTAAGAGCGGGGGAGTGACATGTAAGGCTAAAAGAGTAACATAGATAACATGGGACGCATAAGAGAGGGAAAATGACAAAAAGATGGCACTTCTCCTTAGTTCTTTTTTTTTTTTTTTGTGGGCCCAATTTAAGGTATAGCCGCAGTGCTGCCTCTGAACCGTTGCCAATTAATGAGCTAACAAATTTTTTTAAAAGGACAAAGAGAAAAGAAAGCCCGGCACATTTTCAGTGCATTTGGAGAGCAGACTCAGTGCCCGTTTGGATTAACGGTAAACAACTGTAATTTTAGATAATCATGAATTTTATAAGTGACACTGGCTATAAGTGACATTAGTTAATCGTGATTTCTGTTTGGATATTTTTTTTATAAGTGATTTTAAGAATTGTGATTATGTTTGGTTTTCATTTATTAAAATCACTTATGGGTGTATAATTACTAAAAAGGACATGAAGTTAATAAAGTTGTTTACATTTTCATAATTATTATATTTAATAATAAATTTTATTAAATATAATTTAATAAATGACATAAATATTTAAATATTATTTTTATTTTAAAATTATTATTATTTAAAATCACTTACAAAATTTATATGTAGTAAAAATATTAAATAAAAGATCCCATATAAATAAGAGATGAATGAAAATATTTTTAAAAAAAATTGATTAGCAATTTTAGTAACATAGATAAGGAAATTGAATGTTCAATCAAAATTATAACTAAGAAATAAAATTTAAACAACAAAACTAATTAATAAAAATGATAGCTAATTATTTTCCCTGTATTGCAGAATTTGATCTTGAATTGAGTCTCGAAGACGATCCATTTCTGATGAGAAAACTATGTTGGCACTTGGTGATTGTGTTGTTTCAATCATATGTCATCCGTTATCTTACTTTTTAAAAAATGTCTTTTAGATAAAATTAAAAGAAAAACAGGTTCATATTGTATGTTTTTTTAAAAAAAATTAAAATAATTACCATTAGAATGAGGGGTAGATTGGAGAAAATTTAGTTACTGAAGATTCATCGGGATTTTTCAAACGCATAAGCTACTTCTTGTTACTTATCCTAAAAGTGCGGTAGAAGGTTAAAATCACGATTCATCGAGATTTTATAAAAATTATCCAAACACCCTAAACATGCTTCATAAGCACTTATTTGAATTTAAACGGGCTTATTTGAGATCTCACCGCTTAACCAAACAGGCTCTCAATCACCAGCGATGTTAATCACTCACAAAAATAGCGGGTCGATATTGAAATTTTCTTGAAAATTTTTTTAAATTTTATTTACAAGTTATTTTTATCGCTCAAACAAACAAAAAAAACTTCAATTTCATGATTCATACAAACCAAAAAAATTTTTAAATTTTATTAATTTTCATTTAAAATTTAACCACTTTTTAACTTTATTCCGATTTAATATACTTTATAACTTATATAAAAAAAATCAACATAATAATAAATAAAAAGTAAAATTGTACATCAATATAAAATTTTTTTCTCACTATTGTATAAATAAAGACCAAAAAGCATTTTCCTTCTTTATTCTATAAATATGACCAGAGGCCTGTAGTGCTTCGTACAAGTCTTCGATACAATAAGTCCTATACTCAACATTAAAAAAAAAAGAAAGGAAACGAGATTTAATTAGATACAAAAAGCATAATTAGAAGTAATAAAGGGAAAGCAAATACACCATATCAGGTGGCAATTAAGCAAAAGAAAGAACAAAACAGGAGATGCTGCCAGCGCACATGATTTAAAACATTTAAAGAATCAGGTTCACTGCTTCTCAGCTATGAAGTAGGGATGAAAATGATAATAGGAATGGGACTGAATATGGAAGAGGGTTTTTCTTAATGTCCTAACTACGTTTAGAAAATGTACTACCAATTCTTAACATGCCAGGCACATAAATCCACCTGTCTCTCTCTTTTGCGCTCTATAAAGGACTTGTCTACGTGCCGAATGTGTCATAACAAGTGTCTCTTATAGGTCCAGATGGGTACCGTACCACTTCCTTGAAATGGTCTTGCCCATTCAGTGTTTTGGGGGGAAACACGCATAATGTCTCAGTCCATTTTTCACTTCCCTCTATTAAATCCACAAATAAAATATATTTTCTTTGACCAGCAATCAATAGATAAAATATATGCATCATAAAAGAGGACATACTCCTGATATTTAAAGAAACAAAAGTTGGCAAATATATATATATATATAAATTATAAAGTACTCCTCCAGTCCTTAATATAGGACCCAATTCTTGAGTTGGTTTTGGTCCTAAATATAAGACCCCTTTCTCATATTTATCAATTTTCTCTAAATTACCCCCACGAATACTCCCTCAACCATAATCAAGCAAAAGAGGAAGATAGGGTATTAAGAAAGATGATTATGGTGTTTTAGAAAAAATGTGTCACTTTTTTTATAATTAACTAATTTACCTAACTTTCTTAATCTAATCAAATTAGTTAAATGGGTCTTATATTAAGGACCGGAGGAGTAATAAAAGGAAATAGTGTCAGGTGTTATTTTAAGGTGAGGGAATGCTCCTATTCAGCGCTTACCTCAACCATGATGATACTGATGGACACCGAATCAGGCTCCTTGACATATGTGGTCCTCTAATAAAGAATTGGTTTCCGTTCACCTTCCCTATCGCACAAGAGGAATCATGATCGTAAAGGAAATGCGCAGACAAAGCCAAAAGATCCACCGCCCGTTTATATGCTACCGTGACGAGCACAAGCTCCCCTGACTTGAGGGGAAATGCGGCAAAATGCCACGCGGGTGCCTGACTTTGTTGTATACGTAGATCCGTCAAATAATTAAATGATGAAGAGGTGCAAATAGTATGAGGGGATTTAAAGAAGACACTGCATCCAGTCATAAACAGCTCTCGTAAATAAAGTAAGGCGTCAAATAGCATGCGCAGCTCTGGGCTTTGATTCATTCGTCTGCAATCAGAGAGATTAAGCTCTTCAAAAAATCTCAGGCAACATAACTCATTTAGGGGAACAATCTCTAGTCTTGAATCACCATGTGTGATCCTTCTTAGCTTATTGAGACCCCCAACTGATGACGAGCAGAGTATTTCGAATTTTGAAGTTACAAAATCCAGCTCTGATATTTCCTTTGATGACGACGAAAATACCCTGACACTAACGCATAAACCGACATCAAAGTTTATAGGAGATCTGAAATTACTCTCACTGTGATGTTTCTTTGAATCTATGGAGCGAACTAAATTCACAGCAGCAATCATAGAAAGAGACAAGATATGTGAATTGACGTTACAAAAACCTTGACAAGAACACATATCCTCCCATTCAGTTTTCTGTGCCTTTGTGAAATCAAGCAACTCCATTGATTGTTTTGAGCTGTCAAGGCTCATTCTCTTAGAATTCGCATAATCCTGAAGCAATTAAACGAGATATATTAAAAATGGGGAAAATTTTAGAATTTGAATAAAAGACAACTAACTAAAGATACAAGTACATCTACCTGCACTAGTTTCCAAAGTTTCCCAACATGGTTGTTGGGCATAGAATGCCCAACAAGTTTCTCAGGATATGGGTGTGGGTATCCATCCCACTGTAGGCGCCTTAGCTCATCAGAGAACGACAAAAAACTTGTTGGAGGGTGCACATTACAGCATCTCACATGCCAGGAAGAGTAAAACTTGACGATTCTGAGATTAGTCATATTTTTGAAGGTGTCAACATTCAACCGTACATCTTTAAAGAGAGAAGCATATAACACTATGCCTTTAATGGCATCAGTTCCCTGAAAAATAAAACAAATTCATAAGAAAAGTGAATTATATGAATCTGGCTGCAATTTGCACAAAAATCATCTGCATGCAGACAGAAGATAAGATATCTTTCTTGTACCCTATTATTTTTTAACACATCATACACTTCCTCAAAGTCCTTCAACCGACTACGTCCTCCAGGATTGTCCTTGCATTCTTGCCGAACTATTTCCCAACCCATTTCTTGAATCAAGTCATGCATTTTTATTACATTGTCGTTTGAAATGGATATAAGAGCTTTATCCAGAAGTCCTTTTATTCCATAAGCAGCAAAAAGGTTATTGGCATCAAGTTGCCTCTTGACATGATCTTTATCTTCTCCTTTGTAAAAGAAAGCGATATCAAGAAATATGTCCCTTTCTACATCATCTAATCCCTCAAAACTCATTTTCAGCACATCTTGAATTTGAGGATGGGGATACATCTCAAGTTTTCCCAATGTACTTTTCCATGTTTCTCTATCACAAGAACAAAGATGTAAACCCAAAACTTTCAGAGCTAGAGGAAGGCCATCGGCATAAGCAGTTGCCTGTTTTGAAAGTTCTTCATATCCCCTTTCGGGATGGCTATTGTTGAAGGCATTTAAGCTGAAAAGATTAAGGGATTCTTCAAAGTCCAATTTCTTGACCTCAAGTATGTCATTGGCTTGAACTCCTCCAGCAATTAGTGCTTGCTTGTTTTGGCTTGTTGCAATAACTCTACTACCAGGTCCCCAGTGAAATCCTTCTGTAACTAGATGCCGTAGTTGTTCTGGAGCACCCACATCATCAAGCACAACTAAAACTTTTTTTCGTCTAATAAGCTTTCTACGGATGAAAGTAGATTTTTCCTCTTGCAGCTCAGAAATAAGTTTCTCTCTTAAAGATTTCAGCCCATGCTTTTGTGATTCTTCTCTCACATTGTCTAAAAAGTAAGAGCCTTCATAGCGGGAAGAGAATTTCTCAAATGCAACTCGTGCAATGGCTGTTTTACCAATACCACTCATGCCCCAAATTCCGAGGATTTGAACTCCTTTTGACTCCATTTCCAAAAATGATCTAATACGATCAACATGTTGATCAATTCCAACAAGACGATTTGACTCACTAGGATAGATATCATTCACTCTTAACAAAACATCTTTGACGATTTCATCTATGAGCTCAGAGTCAGTACTGAATCAAAGAAGAAAAAAGAATGTATCAGAACAAGAAGATGGAACGAAATAGCTGATCAACAAGTCCTATATTTATATGTGTTATACAATTCAATGACTCCTAATCCATGCCGTTTATTAGATAAATGTAGTATCTACCGATACACGGCATGAAACTTTTAGGATCCAGTATGAAACTGTTGGAATATCATATCAGAAAATTACCAATTAAACATTGTGATGCAAAACATGCTCTAATTTCTACAAAGCGAAGACAAATGTTTTTCAAGGTCTAAATTAGATAGCCAGCCACACACACTGATATATCAACTGTTGAGAATTAAATAGTATTTTGCAAAGGCTTACCCATAACGGGACGAATCATAGCCAGATAGTTCAGCAGCATTCTTCAAGGCTGATCTCCAATTCTGTACCTTCAAGCCGTTTCCTTGAAACCTCAATTCATGTTCAGTAAATGCATTTTCATAAGCGCCTCTTTGATGCCGTACATGTGAGGGATCTATGTTGTAGAAAACGGGTAGAACAATTTGTTTGTTTACTTTCATGCACTCCATTATTTCTTCAAGTTCATCCAAGCACCACCTCGAAGAGGCGTAGTTTTCTGAGAAAATGACGATTGAAATTTGCGATTCTTTAATTGCTGTTCGAAGCGAGGATGATATTTCTTCTCCTCTGTTCAGTTTCTCATCTACATAGACTATGATGTTCTCCCGACGTAGTTCCTTTATTAGATGACTCAGAAAACCGCGTCTAGTGTCCTTGCCACTGAAGCTGATGAACACATCGTGTTTGATTTGAGAATCATCGAAAGAAGAAGAAGAAGAAGCCATGGCTGGAAAGGAAGAAATTCAAAACTGGAACAATGGGTTTCTTCTCCGGAAACTGCAGCAAGTATTCTGTTCTGCAACAAAGTTAAACCATTCGAAGTTAATGCAGAAGCAAAATAAAGTAGTAAATGATTCTCAAGGTTTGAACCATGATTACTACCAGAGATTGCAAGAAGGTTGGTTGGATCATTACTGAGAGATTGCTTCTGCAATCCGTGTTTTTAATTTTATGTAGCGAATTACCGATCGTGGGCATAGAGTCAACTATCGACTAAGGTTTAAAAATTGACTTAGTGAAGACCGAAGAAGCAGGGACTTGCCTAGAAGCCATCTCGGGTCTTTTTATTTTGATTTTGATTTTATTTTATTTTATTTGAGTGGGACCAAGAAAGGAATCCGTTTCTGTAATTAATCTTTTTTTTTTGTTGCTAAATTTGACAGTTTGTCGGGAAAGAAAAAGGAATCTTGATAGGGAAGAAAAAGCAAAAATCTTACGCACTCTCAATGAATTGTCCTTCCTTCAATTTTTCACTTTAAAATATAGCTATTATTTTTTTTATATGCACATGTATTTTTCTATTAGATACAATCATGTTTGAGGTATCACGGGAGACTAGATATATGTATCTCTACTAATAAATATTTGAATTTTAATTCATCATATTGTAAAAAACTAACTCTTTTTATTACACCTTCAACTCCTGTTAGTAAAACATATATAGCTATTAAATGGGAGAGACGGAGGTTGAAAATGACAACTAAAAATTATAAAGGCAAAGCAAATAAGTCAAAGCAGGCGACAATTAAGCATAAGAAGAACTCAACAAGATTGAAGAAACTACAATCTTATTAAAACAACCAAGTAAAAACAAATAAGCAAACAAGTTTTTTTTCTTTTTTGTTTTTAAAACAAAAAATGTTTCCAAAACAAAAACCAAGCCAACCCTTTCCTAACTATGGTTATAAACTGAACCACCAAACACATAATATTTTTCTAAGGGTACCGCAGGCATGAAATGATTTTACCCATTTAATCTTTGGTGAGCATGCTTATTTTCTAAATTATTTTTTTTCTAAGGGTACAACAGAACGTTAGTATTTGTTTACTGTTATGTTAGTTATTTGATTTTATTTTCTGGTTAGGTTTGTTTTTGTGAGTTCTATTGTAGTTTTGAGTCATTGTTTTGTTTGTGGCTTTGTCTATGGGTTTGTACTTTTAAAAAAAATTAATAAAATTGACTTATTTTGGCAAAAGAAAAAGAAAAGGAAAAAGAAAAAAATAGTACATATTTCTTATACATTATAGAATATAAAGAGGCGGTTTGTATAAGGGATAATAAATATACAATTCCTTATAATTTCAACCGGTTTTTAATTAGGTCCTTATTTTTTTTTCTTTTTATTAGGTTTTTATAATTTCACATTTTTTTAATCAGGTCCTTATAATTCTTGTCTTTTTATCAGCTCCTTATTGTTTTACTTTATTTTTAATTAGATCTTTGTAGTTTTTATTCTTTCTTCTGTAAATAATAATATTCTATAAATAATAAATTATTATAATAATCTTATGTTAATATTCTTTTAAATTTTTAGTTAAACATATAGATTATTTATTTTTCAATTCTAATGTTTATAATTATAAAATTCAAATTATAATAACAACATTTTCTAAAATTAGAATATAATTATAAATAATTTATAGTTAATTATAATTGATTATTCTGATTAATTATTAATTACTTAATGATTATATTAATTATTTTGTGCAATTATATAATTATTAATTTAAAAAGGGAAAACCATATTGAAGGTACCTATACTTTCTCTCAATTTTTAATTTGGTACCTATGTGTTTTTTCTCTTTAATTAAACATTTATTTTATCTTTTTAGCAACATTAACTCTTATAACTTGGTTCTATTGATATTTTTAGTCTCTACATAAGAATTAATAATGTTAATAGAGGAAAAATAAAGATTAGTTAAGAACAAAAAACACATAGGTACCAAATTGAAAATTGAAAAAAAGTATAGGTACTTCCAATATGGTTTTCTCATTTAAAAAAGAAGTTAATTTTATTCGTTGATGATTGAGGCTCTGTTTGATCTTTTGTGGGGTTTTGGCGTTCAAGATGCAAAGAATCCCTTTCATTCGTTGATGATTGAGGCTCTATTTGATACATGAAATGAATTATTGCTCTTCATTTCTGGAATCACTCAACTGATACGCTGTAATTGAACATAATGAAATTGTTTGTGAGTCGAGTTCTTTCTTGTTTCCCATTCAATGCGAAAGTTTTGTACAAAAGCACAAAAAAATTAAGCAAAAAAAGAAGGTAGATTTCACATAAACTGGCATTGGATTTTTGTTATTATTATTAATTTTTTATTTATTTTGAAGAGACTCTGTAATGAAACTGTTCCATGTTCCTGTAATTAATTCCTTTGGTAAATTTGATAAATTTTGTCTGGATAATACAAAAAAAAAAGTGATGGGAAAAAAAAGAAAAATCATATCCGTTAACAATTAATTGTTTTCCATTCTTTTATTTATCAGAAAAGTTTTACTCGCGAATATATCAGACTAATATAGTTAAGATTATTAATCCTAAATATTTACTGAAGTTTTCAGACTCAATTGAGTTATTATCAAGTGGATATATAAATAAATGAATTTTGCTCTCTATTTTTTCTCTTCTTCAAATTTTACAACAATTTTGTTAGATGTAGCCTCTTCTATCAGTCGGAAAGAAACATCTCATGAATACCAACTAAACAATTTATTGACCCTACGCTGGCTTCAACCTACACGTAAATAATTAGAAGGAGGCTTTACTTAAAATCATCCAACATAGGGAGAACAAGGAGGGTGGGGGGAGTTATTAATTAGCTTTTTTATTTGTGATTCTTGGCTTTTATTCTTGGAGAGACATAATAAATAACATATCTTTAATGAGAGTGAAAATGGAAATATTAGTTTAAAATTTCATGGAAAAAATTTGTTTCTTATATTTAGGGACATCAGGATTGTTTCTTACAAAAAGAGAAGGCTGGAAGTATTTTAAAAATGTATGTTGCAAATAGATCATTCCATCACACTTGATTAGGACTCAAGACTCTGGCGTCACGTTCCCGTGTTCCAGTTATATGTGCGTTTATACACCCCCTCCTAATTTTCTTTTATAAATTTTAAATAACTATTTTATCTTTACATAAATTAAAATTTGATTTGGTATGAAGAAAATAGAGGGGTTGGAAATTTTAATGAGTTTTATTTGAAAAAATGGAAAATTGGAGTTCATATTTTTAATTAGTTTTTCTTACTCTTCTATCTTACATCTTTTCTACATTAAAAAAATAATTAAATTAATTATTTTTATAAAATCTCAAAATTATCTTAGGGATAATTAATCTTCTGCTCTTTATAGTTTCATTTGATTTTTAATCATGTCCCTATAAAATTTTTCTTTTTTCAAATCTTTTTACTTTTATGTGTTTTTAATTAGACCCATCCATTTTTTTTCATTTTTATCAAATCCTTATAGTTTCACTTATTTTTTAATTATGTCCTTTTTAGTTTTAAAAAAATTATTTATTAAGTTTATTCTTTAAAATTAATTTCATTTTTAAATTAATAATTATATAAGCGGACAAAATAATTAATATAATCATTTAGTAATTAATAATTAATCAGAATAATCAATTGTACTTAATTATAAATTATTTATAATTATATTCTAATTTTAGAAAATTTTATTATTATAATTTGAATTTTATAATTATAAAAATTACAATTGAAAAATAAATAATATATATGTTTAACTAAAATTTTAAAAGAATATTAACATAAGATTATTATAATAATTTATTATTTATAGAATATTATTATTTATTCTATAAATAATAAAAGCTACACGGACCTAATTAAAGATAAGGTAAAATAAAAAGAACCTAATAAAAAAAATTATAAAGACCTGATTAAAAACATATGAAATTATAAAGACATAATAAAAAGAAAAAAAAAATATAAAGGCCTGATTAAAAACCGGTTAAAACTATAAGGATTTCCATATTAACGATCCCTTATCTTTAATAAAAATTATTACTTAAAGAAGCTCGGTTAATTAGTGATGAATTTTTATAGTTAGTTAGGATAAAAAGTTTACACTTTAGACAAATTATAATATATTATAAAATATTAAGAAGGTTCTTATAATAAGGAATAGATTGTAAGACGTTGTATACTCACCAGTTGGTGAGTTGGTTACTAAAATTTATCTCTAAAAAAATGAAATGAAAATTCAGGAATAAAACTTAATTTTAATTCTTTAAATTTATATCAGGTTCTCATTTATTAAAAAGTGCATTTTTAGTCCTTTAAACTTAACATTACTAATCTCACTAATAAAAAATATTGACTCAGCATTTAAATACTCACATGCTAATTTTGAATTTAAAATATGTAAATTAAAAAAATATTTAAAACAGAATCTAATTAAGGGTGCCATCGTCAAAGACAATTATTCCATATGGCTAAATTGTCTAATGCGGTTCTATATGATTTACTTTTAAATATTCATAAAAATAGTAATTTAAAAAATATTTTACATTGTAAATTTTTAACTTTTTTAATGATCAGCTTTTACTTATTCATATTATATTGAGTATAAAATTTAATAATAACGCTAATCCTTAAAATAATTATAATTTTAAAAATATTTTAATATAAATTTTTAATATTAATCATATATTTTTTTCGATTATAAAAGTAAGCAAAGAAAATTCTTTGTTTCATCATTACTAAATTGCATATAAATTGTTGACAAAAGTAAAGATTTATTGTTAAATATTTCTAAATTTATATTTTGAAATTAAAAAATAACATGATAGCATTTAAGTATTGGATCAACGTTTTCTGTAATAAAATTGACTAAGTTTAAAGGACTAAAAATATATTTTTAAAAATAAAAGACTAAACTAAAATTTGATATAAACTTAAACGAGAAATGCATACTTTAGCCAAAAGTTCAATTGGCAAAAATCGTCTTATTTAGGTCTCATTAAGAATGAAATCATTGGTCTTTTTTGAATAAAATATAATTTTAAAAAATGATTTTACTGCAGTCCTCTAATCATCCTCTCGTTCTTAATACAAGACCCAATTATTCAGTTATTTTTTATTCTAAATATATGACATATTTTTTATATTTATCAATTTTTTCTATATTACCCCCTATTAATATTCTCTCAATTATAATCAAATAGAAGAGGAAATGAGAATGTTAAGAAAAATAATTATAGTATCGTAAAAAAAACAGGTTATTTATTATAATTAACTAATTTACTTAATTTTTTTTAATCTAATTAAATTAATTAAATATATTTTATATTAAATATTAAGACCAGTGGAGTGACATGGAAGGGGTAAGGGACAAGAGAATAGGGACATATAAGAGAGGAAAAATAAAAAATGACAAAAAGATCGCGCGTTTTTAAGGTGTAGCTGCAGTGCTGCCTCAATTGATGAGCTAACAATTTTTTTAAAGGGAAAAAACAAAAAAGAAAGTCCGACACATTTTCAGTGCATTTGGAGAGCAGACTCAATAACCACCGATGTTAATCACAAACAAAATAGCGAGTCAATACTAGAATTTCTCTTACAAAATATTTTTTAGTCTTATTTATAACTTATTTTTAATGTGTTTCACACAAATTAAGAAATCTTAAATTTTATTAACTCTCATTTAAAATTTAACATCTTCTTAACTTCATCCCTAGTTAATATACATTATATCTCGTATAAACAAAATCAACATAATAATAAATGAAAAATAAAATTATACATCAACATTAAAAGATGTTTCTCACTACCCTATAAATAGAACCAAAAAATGATTTCTCTTTCGTCTTATAAATGTAACCGGAGTGGTATAGTGCTCCGGACAAGTCTTTGATGCCATAACTCCTATACTCAACATGAAAAAAAAAAAAAAAAAGAGATTAAATTAGATACAAAAAGCATGATTAGAAGTGATAAAGGGAAAGCAAATAAATCATATAACGCCGCAGTTAAGTATAAGAAGATAGAAGGAACCAGTTTGGATACTCATCACCTTGATAAGCATCCTAAACTTATCAAATCTGGATTATCCATATCTCGTTTTGGTCCAGATTTCATGAGATATGGATGATCCAAATCTGATGAGCTTAGGGTGCTCATCAAAGGGATGAGCACCAAAAGACACTTCAGCCAGTCATAAATAGTTCTCTTAAATAAAGTAAGGCGCCAAATAGGATGCGCAGCTTGATTCATTTGTCTACAATCAGAAAGACTAGGATCTTCAAAATATCTCAGGCAACACAACTCATTTACGGGAAGAATCTCTAGTCCTGAGTCACCATGTGTGATCCTTCTTAGCTCACTGAGACCCCGAACTGATGATGAGCACAGTATTTCGAATTTTGAAGTTACTAAATCCGACTCTGATATTTCCTTTGATGACAAAAAATACCCTGACACTAAAGCATAAACCAACATCAAAGTTTATAATAAGAGATCCGAAATTACTCACCGTGACGTTTCTTTGAATCCTTGGAGCGAACTAAATTCACAGCACGAGACAAGATATATGAATTGATGTCACAAAAACCTTGACAAGAACGCATATCCTCCCATTCAGTTTTCTGTGCCTTCGTGAGATCAAGCAACTCCGTTGATTGTTTTGAGCTACCAAGGCTCATTCTCTTAGAATTCACATAACCCTGAAGCAATTAAATGAGAGATATTAAAAATGGGGAAAATTTTAGAATTTGAATAAAAGACAACTAACTAAAGATGCAAGTACATCTACCTGCACTAGTTTCCAAAGTTTCCCAACGTGGTTGTTGGGCATAGAATGCCCATCAAGTTTCTCAGGATATGGGTATGGGTATCCATGCCACCCTAGGCACCTTAGCTCATCCGAGAACGACAAAAAACTTGGAGGGTGCACATTACAAGATCTCACATGCCAGGAAGGGTAAAACTTGATGACTCTGAGATTAGTCATATTTTTGAAGGCGTCAACATTCAACCGTACATCTTTAAAGAGAGAAGCATGTAACACTATGCCTTTAATGGCATCAATTCCCTAAAAAGTAAGACAAATTCATAAAAAAAGTAAATGATATGAATCTGGCTGCAATTTGTACAAAAGTCACCTGCAGAGAGAAGATAAGATATCTTTCTAGTACCTTATTATTTTTTAACACATCATACACTTCCTCAGGGTCATTCAACCGACTACGTCTTCCAGGATTTTACATTCTTGCCGAACTGTTTCGAAACCCATTTCTTGAATTAAGCCATTCATTTGTATTACATTGTCATTTGAAATGGATATAAGAGCTTTATCTAGAAGTCCTTTTATTCCATGAGCAGCAAAAGGGTTATTGACATCAAGTAGCCTCTTGACATAATCTTTATCTTCTCCTTTGAAAAAGAAAGCGATGTCAAGAAATACGTCCCTTTCTACATCATCTAATCCTTCAAAACTCATTTTCAGCACATCTTGAATTTGAGGATGGGTATACATCTCAAGTTTTCTCAATGTACTTTTCCATGTTTCTCTATCACAAGAATAAAGATGCGAACCCAAGACTTTCAGAGCTAGAGGAAGGCCATTGGCATAAGCAGCTGCCTGTTTTGAAAGTTCTTCATATCCCTTTTTGGGATGGCTATTTTTGAAGGCAATTAAGCTGAAAAGATGAAGGGATTCTTCAAAGTCCAATTTCTCGATCTCATGTATGGCATGAACTCCTCCATCAATTAGCGTTTGCTTGTTTCGGCTTGTTACAATAACTCTACTACCAGGTCCCCAATGAAATCCTTCTGTAACTAGATGCTGTAGTTGCGCTGGAGTATCCACATCATCAAGCACAACTAAAACTTTTCTTTGTCCAATAAGCCTTCTACGGATGAAAGTGGATTTTTCCTCTTGCAGTTCAGAAATAAGTTTCTCTCCTAAATATTTCAGCCCATGCTTTTGTGATTCTTCTCTCACATTGTCTAAAAAGTAAGAGCCTTCATAGCGGGAAGAGAATTTGTCAAATGCAAGTTGTGCAATGGTTGTTTTACCAATGCCACCCATACCACAAATTCCGAGGATTTGAACTTCTTTTGACTCCATTTCCAAAAATGATCTGATACGATCAAGGTGTTGATCAATTCCAACAAGGCCATTTGACTCACTAGGATAGATATCATTCACTCTTAACAAAACATCTTTGACGATTTCACCTATGAGCTCAAAGTCAGTACTGAATCAAAGAAGGACAAAAGAATGTATCAGAACAAGAAGATGGGATGAAATAGCTGATCAACAAGTCCTATATTTATATGCGTTATACAATTCAATGACTCCTAATCCAGGCTGTTTATTAGATAAATGCAGTATCAGCCGGTGCACCGCATGGAACTTTTAGGATCCAGTATGAAACAGTTGGAATATCATATCAGAAAATTACCAATTAAACATTGTGATGCAAAACATGCTCTAATTTTCTACAAATTGAAGACAAATGTTTTTCAAGGTCTAAATTAGGTAGCCTGTCACACACACACACACAATCTGATATATCAACTGTTGGGAATTAAATAGTATTTTGCAAAAGGCTTACCCGTAACGGGACGAATCATAGCCAAATAGGTCAGCAGCATTCTTCAAGGCTGATCTCCAATTCTGAACCTTCAAGCTGTTTCCCTGAAAGCTCAATTCATGTCGAGCAAATGCATTTTCATAAGTGCCTCTCTGATGCCGCACATGTGAGGGATCTATGTTGTAGAAAACGGGTAAAACAATTTGTTTGTTCACTTTCCTGCACTCCATTATTTCTTCAAGCTCATCCAAGCACCACCTTGAAGAGGCATAGTTTTTTGAGAAAACGACGATTGAAATTTGCGATTCTTTAATTGCTGTTCGAAGCGAGGATGATATTTCCTCTCCTCTGTTCATTTTCTCATCTTCATATACTCCGATGTTCTCCCGACGTAGTTCCTTTACCAGATGACTCCGAAAACCACGTCTCGTGTCCTTGCCATTGAAGCTGATGAACACATCGTATTTGATCTGAGAATCATCGAAAGAAGAAGAAGAAGAAGGAGCCATTGCTGCGTTTTGAGTTTCTTCTCTAAAAACATGCTCTTCTTCACTATCTAACCCAGAAAAAATCTCTCGATCCAGATCCTTTGGCCCTTTGGCCTATGCGAGCTCAATGCCATTCTTTGACAAGAAAAGAAGAAGAAGAAAAAAAAGAAGAAAGGAGAGCAGAAAGTTAGAAGAGGAAGGAGAGGATAAGAGACAGGAGAGTGGAAAGCGACACGAAACAGATAGCAGATTCCTTGAGAGCTCAAACCACTATCGTAGGATACTCACATATTCAGAAGAAGGTACTATAGTGGACGAACAGAGACTGGAGGGTGGAGTTTCATCAAATATACAGAGAAGGTAATCGATGCGCCGATCGCCTAGCACATATAAGCCTTCTGCTCAAGAACTCTTATGAGCTCTGGGAACAACCCCCACGGAAATCAGAGACTTGCTTCGAGAGGACAGGGAAGGACGTGGGACTCCACGTGTGATCAGAATGTAATTTTGGTTTATTCCTTAGTTCACCAAAAAAAAGAAAGAAAGACAATCAATACCGACGGCAGTGACTCATAAAGAAATGAACAGCACTGCAGAAGAGAAACCGGAATGTCCAGGTAAAAAGGAGGGTTATCCAACAGTCAAAAAAAGTTCCGATATTCGAGATGGGAGCAGGTCGATGGTAAATGTCATGGAATATATTTTTTCATTATACGATTAAGAAATATAGCTACAGGGTGAGATTGAAGAGTCAGAAACAAATGTAAAAGTATTTACAACAATTATAAGGAAGAAGATAAGAAAAGGGTTTGGTTGGGTTATTTAATATTGTTTATGTATTATTTTTGTAAATATATCATGTTTATTTTATGTGTTAGTATTTATTTTATTTTAGATTAGCATATTATTACTTATATATAATATTTTTATTTAATTATTACATTATCGGTTCGACCGATAATTAGACCGGTTGAATCATAAAAACCGTGACCCGCTACTCTTTCTGGTTTGCTCTCTGATATGGCTTTTAAAATATTACTAAAAAGTGCACCAATGCTTCTTTTGATTCATAATATAAGACGATTAATTTTTCTCATAATAAAAAATTGAAGTTAGCCATCAAAATAATCCTAAAATTATAAAATTTCCTATTTTATTCTTTAAAAAATAAGAAATTACTTTTAATGTTACACTTTTATTACTTCTTATCTTTTTTCTATATTTGATAAAAGTAAAAATAAAAAATACAACATGTTATATATTTTACATCGCAATTTTTTTTTTTTTTTTAGCTAATGTCTTATATCATCAGCCCGCAATCTTTGACGTGGAGTCAGTAAAGCAGGGTCGGGCTGGAAGCCATCAAGTAGTGTTATGTTATTTGTTTGAGTGGGGACTGGGGAGCCCAAAAAAAAAAAAAAACCAAGGAAGATTTATAAAGGGTTGGGTTGGGGCTGTCACCTGATAAGCGCGTGTGCAACTGTTCATGCTTATTTTTAAAATTAACTTTTTTCATTGGCATAAGAAGGTCTAAAAGAGACAAATATAATTAAAAAATAAAATATATTCATAGATCAAAATCCATAAAAAGTCACACTCTAGAGAATAAAAATTAATTTTTATCCCTACGCTCAACTGATATTAAAATAATTTAAAGATCAAAATACATTCATAGATCAAAATGCATATAAAATGTTAACGGTTCAAACCAAATCTTAATAATTTAAATTTATTTTGTAAATATTATTTGTTAATTGATATTGAAATAAAAATTTTTATATAATATTAAATCGAACCATTTAAAATTATTTTAATAAGAAGAATAAAAAAGTGGAGGCAACTGAACCGCAAGGAAAATGATAAAATGGTAAAGTTCCCTTCTCGCCTCCTGTTTCTTCCTTTTTTCTTTTTTTTTTATAAATTTGTCTCCTTTTCTTTCTTACACTTTTGCAAAATGACTTGGAAAAGTTTGTTATGAAATTCTAAGTAAAAAATATAATTACTAAAAAATCTTAATAATATTTGAACTATCTTTAATAACAAGTTTGTAGTAAAAAACAATTACTATCATAAAAATTAATTATTTTCTTTTCTTAAAATCTCATTGTAATTCTCCTAATTGCTTATCCTTCCATTGCTTTTTTTAATTTATTTTTCAACCTTCATTTTTTTTCTTTTTTTTCCCTTTCATTATTCTTTTCCTTATAAAAAGATATAAGAAGATTCTGTATCAAAATTCCCTTTTATCATATAAAGGAGTGTAGAGGTGAAAATGTATGACAATTAATTAACTAGGTTTAAAATATTAATAAATTTAGTCAAATATAATCCAAAATCAATAGCTTTCTAATTATAAAATATAGATTTATCAAATTTCCCCACATTTAGCTTGTTACCTATTCTTAAGTAATGAATATTTTCTTAATCAATCAATCAGAATTATTGTACAAACCTTCCTTACTTAGTATGAATGATCACTTAAGAATATTTGGGATATTTGGATTAGCTTTTTAGAAGCATGAGTCGCCATCTAATTATCAACCATTCTAAGTGTGACAACCCAAAAAAAAAAAAAATCAATCAGTATGTGTAAAATATCAAGTAGAACAACCAAATGAGGGAATGAAAAATCATATACTCCTCCGGTCCTAATTATAAGACCCAATTGACTTATTTGAGGAGATTAAGGAAGTAAGTTAAGTTGGTTATTTATAATAAATAAGTGTTGTTATTCCTAAAATATCCTTGCTAATTAAGTATATTGACTAAAACTATCATTATTAGAAGGATTATCTTGGAAAAAAATGTATAAATATAAGAGAGAAAATGGATTGGGTCTTATAATTAGGACCAAATAAAAAGTCAAATTGGGTCTTATAATAAGGACCGGAGGAGTATAATGCTTACTTATAAACTTACTATACTTCAATTAATTATGTTAGAACTAATTTTGCCCAGAAGGATGCACTCGTACCTTTATGATTTTTTCATTTCTACAGTACCTTTTTTCTTGCTTCTATTTAAACTTTTTTAGGTTATTGTATTTGTGCCCTTTTTGGTTGAGTGAATATATTTATGCTCTTTTGAATAACTTAATTAGCACCAAAATACAACTAGCAAAGTTGTTACCGCACCGTTTGATTCGACGGTTAACATTGGTGATCGAATAAAACCTTTGGTTACTAGCACAAATTAAACCAAGGAAGTGGAAATTTTTTTATCACGTACATATTTTCTTTTCTTTGCCCTGCTCTGATAAGTTTTTATGCGCCCCCACACACATATTCGCCCCTTGTCTAATGAAATCTTCGTAGTAATAAATTGAAAGCACACAAAAATTAAAGAATAAATGCTACCTTTGATTTTTGATATAAGATCTATTTAACTGATTTGAATAAATTAAGAAAAATAATTAAATTAGTTATTTGTCAAAAATATCTATTGGTTTTTCTAAAATATTGTCTTGAATCATTTGGATTAAAATTGTCCTTTGATGCAAATTCTCTTAACATATACAATTAATATTGTTGGTATGAATAAATAAGGGGAACGGAGTGAAACATGATTTTATATTTATGACTAAATTTAACCATTTATATATTAGTTTGTATATTAAGAATTAGAGGTAGTATTATTATTAACACTCCAAAATGTGATTCTTAATGTTAGCCCAGAAATTTTCGCTACTTAATTAATGAGCAAGGAAAGAGAGAGAAATTAAAGCTGGGACACGGCGCTCTTGACGCCATGACGCGTTTCATGTTTATTTTATTTGAGTCGGGGCGAAAAGAGAGAAGCCAAAGGAAAGTGTCGGGGTCGGGCGCCGTTAAGGTGTCTGTGTGAATGGTGAAAAGCCTCATTTTTTAAATTAAAATTTGGATTTAAGTTTTAATCACAAAATAATTCATATTTTTATTAAGTTATAGGCATTAAAATTTTAAATGAAAGGAAATCTAAGAAAGAAAATCTTATGATTTAAAATTTGAGTGATAAAATCAAAATAAAAGAAAATTTAAGAGATAAAAAATTATATTAACCCATTAGAATTTTCTTATGAAATTTTCTATAATCCGTTTGTATGGGAAGCAGAATTGGGAAGGAAAAAACAAGAAGAGAGAAAAAAATTGAGAAAAAAAATGTTATCACCTCATCTATTTGAATTAAAAAAACAAAGAGAAAAAAAAAGAGCAAATATTTAAATTAAACCATTTGCAGAATTAAACTGCAGAAAATAAAGCAATAAACAGTTCTCAGGATTTGCACCCCAATGCCGGAGGCTGCGAGAAGTTTCGTGGAATTATTTATTTATTTTTCTAACCGCGTGGGTTTGCTTTATTCTGAGCCTTGGAGTAAAGCAGCAAAGTTGGGACTGGGATGGGTCCACGCGGTTTTATTTTGAGTGAAGTATATTGAATTCATTTTAGTTAAATTCAATTATAAAATTCTTTTTTTATTTTAAAAGTCTGCGGTGCAATCTATAAGTTTTTATTCAAAATACAATCATTACCATAAATTTTTTTGGAGGTACAAAAGTATCTGTACACTTACCAAAATAAAGCAAAAATGATATAAATGGTACGTAATGTAACGACTGTCACTTTTTATGACAGCGTCCACACAATTATTATGAAAATACTAAAATACTCTTAATTTAATAAACCAAAAAGGACAAAGGTGAAAAAAATACTCAAGTTTTTAGCCAAAACACATCAAATAACTTTTTTTTTCCCCACATCTGCAGATAGTAACTATGGTTGTGTAAATAAATTAATTCTTTCAAGTTTAACCAAAAAAAATCTATTAGATTTTATTATACTATTATAAAAATAATAATTTTATGGTTCATATATGTATTCAGTCTTCTAAATTTACATTAAGTTTAGTCATTTAAATTTATAAAATGTATTTTTAATTTCCTTGATATTAACATCAACTGTCTCATTAAAGTAAAATGTTGATTTACCAAATCTAGATGGTATTTCTACAACTAAATAATGAAATATTAATATTTATTTTATAAT